AACAAACATGTGGAAAGCATTTCCTTCCCCATTAATGGTAAATGACTGTCATGATAAATGTTGATATTGCATATTGCAATAATATTTTTGGCCATATCACCCAGCCCTAGCTATAAAACAAAGCAGTTTGTTAATGTATTTTGAAATGACACCCTCACATGCTCTCATTCTGAAAACTCGAATAAGCATGAAAAGTAATGTTTACTGCATTCATCAAGCTCTACCTTTCAACCTTGTTGCCAAAATTGTAAGAAAATGTATCAAATAAAATTTTATATATTTATTGTATAGGGAAATATATGTTTATCAGTAACTACGAAGCAACACAGTGGTAGCATTATTTTATTTATAATTTTTTTTTTATAATAAATTTTAGGCATGTCCCAAATGTTAGAGGGTTGCAAATCTCATTTAAAACAATTAGGAAATAAAACATTTCTTATAATATTCAGTTTGACCCTCTCTTTGACCAAGAATTTCTTGAGAAAGTTCCTCCTTTCACTGACGGTTTGGTGAGAAGAAAAAAAATAAACATTGACTGCTAGAATGTGCCTTCTAACCCTCTGAATATTGGTTGTAAAGATGGACAGACAGGCAGAGAGACTTACTGCCTGTTTGATGTAGTCGGGAACGATGCCAGACATTGCCTCTTTTGGGAAAAATGCATCCAGAATGAGACCGTGTAGGCTTTGAAAGCTTACAAGCAATGCATGCAGGGAAAACTGGCCAAGAAGTCAAGGGACCAGGTCAGGCAGTGTAAACACGGTCCGGTCAAGACTCTACACAAGACTCTCTCATTCTCACAAAATGTCTTGGATTCATTAGAAGAGATAACATGTATAAAAATTCTCTCAAATATTGATGCTAATAAGTTAATGCATATCGCAATCCCTGATTTCTTGCAATGTGTTTTTCTCAGCTATAAACCCATTGTGGACTATATCGACACACAGTTTGAAAACTACCTGCAGGAAGAGCTGAAAATAAAGCGTTCTCTATTCAATTACCACGACACCAGAATCCACATCTGCCTCTACTTCATCTCTCCTACGGGACACTCGCTCAAGTCCTTGGACTTAGTCACCATGAAGAAGTTGGACAGCAAGGTAAGTGCAGATCACTGGTTAACTAGTAAATATTCTGCATGACACTGTCTGTTAGCTTTAAAAAGTTTTATTATGAAGATTTGTTTTACTTCATTGCAGGCATCATCCAGTAGCATGTGAGTAAACCGCTAGGCC